CTGCCCAGACCCAAACTTCGATTATAGAAATGCCACCATTCATATTAATAGAAATGTATCAATTTAATTCAATTTATATGATCTTAGGATTGTTGATCCATGTTTGCTCCATCAGACTGCGAAAAAAACGCAATGATGTGTCTGAGGTCCCCCGCACGGGCTCCCACCTGTCGCAGTGCTGGAACAAATCATAAGTATATCCCCAACTCATGGGAATATGATGATCAAAACCAGTTGTAGGCAGCTTTTTTTAAATGGGGTAGAACCCCTTTTCAAACCCCTTTTCAATGCACCATGAAGCGCAAACCACTGCCTGACCATGAAGCTTCACGTAAGATCTGCCGGACTATACACATTCTGTAGAAATCTGTAGCAATCTAAGTACATGTTCATTGTGCTAATTACAACTGGATACTGACTAAAATGTATTAAACATCTCGTGAACTGTAGGAGTGGTGGGGGAAATCCATCGTGCACCCGTTGCTTGAACACTAGACCATGCCAATTTTGTTGATGCCGAGGGTGAGATCTCCATGGTCGGTTGGATGACTTAAGAAGCAAGGCAACACATTCACACCTTGAAAAAGTCCAGCATCAAACTTTCATGATCAAATCTCTTTTCCTATGGAATCTATGGCCAAAATGGATTCGATTCAGGGCGCCTATCCAGATACCTACCCTGTGGTCCCGGACCCCCGGTAAGGCTCGGGGCGGGGGTGGCGCTGCTCGGCCTACGAGCGACGTGATCTCCAGAAACGGGATTCATGCCATGATATGGGGGTTTCCATAAATGGGGGTATCCCATAAAATAGATGGATTATTTCATGGAAAAACCATGTATAAATGGATGATGATTTGGGGGTAGCCCTATGACTCAGGAAACCTCCATATACCTTCTTCAATCATTCTGAATATTTCTTAATTGAAAGATGTTGGCGCCAAACCCCACGTTCGACCATAACCCACAAGATCTCTCCCCTACTATCTAACTCAAACATAATCTACACCCTCGCTACTCTCTGGCGACACAAGTAAGGACTGTAGCCTCCTCCTTTCAAACAATCCTGATATCCGGCTGAGACATCCATAAGTTTAACATGGGCGCTTTCTACTAGGGGAATCTACTCTTCATAAGGGATCAAACCCCCCAACCCCTCTGAACAAATATGTTGAACGGTTTTTTAACTATACCAAATACCGAATACCCCACGCCCTCCGAACAAATATGTTGAATAGTTTATCAACTTCCACTTCTCTTCGTAAGGGATCAAACCCTTAACCCCCTCTAAACAAATATGTTGAATTGTTTATTAACTTCCACTTCTCTTCAAAAGGATACCAAATACCCCCACGACCTCCGAACAAATATGTTGAATGGTTTTTTTAACTGCTTCCACTTCTCTTCGTAAGGGATCAAACCCTTAACCCCCTCTAAACAAATATGTTGAATTGTTTATTAACTTCCACTTCACTTCAAAAGAATGCCAAATACCCCACCCACCCCGAGCAAATATGCTCAACGGTTTATTAGCTTCCACTTCTCTTCAAAAGGATACCAAATACCCCCACGCCCTCCGAACAAATATGTTGAATGGTTTTTTTTAACTTCCACTTCTCTTCGTAAGGGATCAAACCCTTAACCCCCTCTAAACAAATATGTTGAATAGTTTATCAACTTCCACTTCTCTTCGTAAGGGATCAAACCCTTAACCCCCTCTAAACAAATATGTTGAATTGTTTATTAACTTCCACTTCTCTTCAAAAGGATACCAAATACCCCCACGCCCTCCGAACAAATATGTTGAATGGTTTTTTTAACTGCTTCCCCCTCTAAACAAATATGTTCTCCACTTCTCTTCGTAAGGGATCAAACCCTTAACCCCCTCTAAACAAATATGTTGAATTGTTTATTAACTTCCACTTCTCTTCAAAAGGATACCAAATACCCCCACGCCCTCCGAACAAATATGTTGAATGGTTTTTTAACTGCTTCCACTTCTCTTCGTAAGGGATCAAACCCTTAACCCCCTCTAAACAAATATGTTGAATTGTTTATTAACTTCCACTTCACTTCAAAAGAATGCCAAATACCCCACCCACCCCGAGCAAATATGCTCAACGGTTTATTAGCTTCCACTTCTCTTCATAAGGGATCACATCCCCCACCCCCTCTGAACTTCAGATGACTTCCAGCACGGTCAAACGTAGGCTTTGCAGCTTACATCAGTCCCGGCAGCATTTTCGCCTTTTGCCTCCGCTTTGGGCAAGGCCTCCGCGCTGGCGGTCGTTTTCAAACTCGCCATCCCACCAACCCGCCATGCCACCTTTCAGTGACACTTTCGGAATCTTATGTGTATATCTATATATATATATGTATAATACAAGTTGATATGACGGTATATCAATTGTAATATCATTTAGTACATATCCGATGTTATCTCCCAAGTAAATGTTCATCCCATCGCATGTGAAAGTGCCGGAACTTTGGTCTTTTCCTAGCGAGTCGACCATCCGGTTGGTGGTTTTTCGCCACCCCTCTGAAAAATGATGGAGTGTTCGTCAGTTGGGATGATGACATTCCCAACTGAATGGAAAGTCATAAAAGCCATGTTCCAAACCACCAACCAGTCATGTGTTGCTTATGCTTGCTCACTCTTCTTGCTATGAGATGCTACGAAATTATCATGATTCATACTCACTTGTATGTTTCCTTTTCGTAGGTTTTGTTTAGTATCGCAATCCCATCCCCCTCCCAACATCAAATACCTCCCTGTTGACCGAGACACAGAAGGAGCACCCGGCACCTTTTTTGGTGCTGCAGGTGCTGGTCGACTGGGCCTGGGAGTGAGCGGCACTGACCGTCATTGCTGAATGGAAGTGAACCCCCCTGGTAAATATTCAATCTGTTCCATCGGATTATATATGAATATATCATCTTCAAACCAATGATAGATTTGCACAAAAAAAGGATCTTAATGGTACATTATACTATTATATACTAGTATAATCTATTATAATCTATTATAATACTATTATAATCTACTGTATTATACTGTTATACTCTTCTATCGTTAGGGGTTGATATAAATTCCAGCCGCTCCATCTCTGAGACTGGAGCAAGGTACTTGGAGCCGCCGGGGCTCCAGGAGCTCCAGAACCGTAGCCTGGAGAGAGAGAGAGAGAGGGAGCATTGCACCAAAACAATGCTAATGTGGTTTATGACTATAATAACTAGTATCCATTATAACTATAGAATGTTTAAGACTCAGATTTCAAAAGTGTGATCTCCAACTCAAAGACTCAGTATGACTCAGTCCAGTTCAGTCTAAGGCCTAAGTGAACAACGCGAAAAGAGCCTTCTGGAGAATCTCCAAAAAGTCTCCCGAATAACGCTTCGTCACTTGTGATTCCCAGCTGGATTCTGATCATGCCTAGTAGATTTGGGATTATGACCCCCAATCATCATCACAAAAAAACATGTTTAACATCAATTCTATCACCATGTAGGACTCTATATATATATATATATTATATCACCCTGGACTCCCAAAGAACGAAAAAAAAACATGGCTGCGAAAGCCTATGGTAGGCATCAGAATCCCTCTGAAAACTGGGTGTTTACATCTTTACCACCATGGCAGCGCCTGCACCACCAGCCTTGACCTGAGTGGGGGATATATCCCAAATACGATTAACGATCAAATTTAAGGTGCTACCCTAAGGTGGTACAGTGGTACCCTATCTTCAAACAAACCCTAAATGTATAAATTATATGTAATTCATCCATGTATTTGGCCATCTGGAAGTTCCTTTCGGAGCTGTGATTTCACATGATTTCACTGTAGTTTGGCCAGGCGCAATGGAATTCAGTCGTCTTTCGCAAAGCTAAGATGTTTGATCTGCAGTGGTTGGAGGAACAAATCGCATTTTTCAACAAATGTCCCTCTGTAAATGAAGATTCAAAATGCAATCAGACACAAAAAAATGGAAAGTTGCGCTGGCAATAGCTAGTTGAGAGGCAGCGTATGTCACTGGCTGCGTGTGAAAGTCTCTCTTTTCAACACTCCTAATAAACCAGAAGGCACATGGCAATTTCAACGTGGCAGCAACACATTCAAAAATACCAAACACCGCAGATCTGCAGAACAATGCTTTGAGTGGAACAAACGGGAAAAAAAGCCCAGCAAAATAAAGATGCAGAACATTGCATTTATGCAGGTTTCAGGAATCAAATTGGTCCACTGCGCAGGTTCTCTCAGGCCCTAGGTCATGGACTGGCGCAGGGGCAGATTTCGGTAGGCTCAACGGTGGAGGAGGCGGCATGACCGGCTGTTTTTTAGTGCTGGGAAGGTGATTCTGAACATAGCTATGAAAAGTGGTAACTGTTACACTTTTTTTGCTGGATCTTCTATAAGTGGGCCATGTTCCATCGCAAACTGTGAAATTGCCGGAGAGTATTTATGGGAACAACTCTGACTTAATACTCTGCCACCCGATGATTGAATATCTACAATTCACCTAGAAATCACCCACCACTCATGAAGCTTCCCAATCAAGGCAAATGTGTCTACATGTGTCTACATAATACATTATATATATATATATCAATTACTAAATTACACATTGTAGACAGAGAGAGAAAAATTCTGTGAGCTCCTCAAAGTATTAGACACAAACGAATTGCTACGACCTTTGGCCGCTGTGACATGCTGTGACTTCATCACTCCGGGAATCTCCGCGACCTGGGAACGTATCTACCTTGGAATTTGCAAATGCAGTACCCTCTGGTAAACTAACATAGCTATGGAAAATCACCATTTTCAATGGGAAAATCCACTATAAATCACCATTTTCAATAGCTATGTTAAATTACCAGAGGGTATGTTTGATGAGCAAATTCCAACGAGTTTCGCAACTTGCCGTAACAATCCCCAAATCCAGGTAGTTGAACCCCCCTTTTTCGAATCAATCAAGAGGAGTATTCTGGCTCAAGTAGTTGAATCTAATTTCTGATGTCTTGCTGCAGGAGTTAAAGCCAAAGTTGAGACGCAGCGGGGCTGTGGCCTGATGGTTTTTTCGTAGACCGCGG